GAATTTCTGTCCAAACGTTGTCCTTCTGTCCAAACATTGTCCTTCTGTCCAAACATTGTCCTTCTATCCAAACGTTGTCCTTCTGTCCAAACGTTGTCCTGCAAGATGTTCTTTACAATCATGACTGGTGGAACTTCTAGTGACTGTTCTGTCTCTCATTAAATGTAAGTCACGTCTCAGGTGCTGCACGATTGATGCATTTATGAAGCAGTTTGAGACAACAGAAACTATTAAAACTATCAAAGCTCATTAGATTATATTTCTTAATGTTACAGTGCTTATAGCAGATTGGCTTTTTATCTGTAGTTTTTACAGCCTGATTGTATAAAGAGTCGATGTGTTTGGTTGCAGGTGGAGAGGCCTGAGCCCATGCGGTCATGCAATATGCCGTGACAAAAATCATAGCATGCATATAAAGCAGGGCCGCCTGACTTGATATATGGTTTATAATTAATTTGAAACAATTAATATTACTTTGTATTGTTTTTGAAAATATCTTTAAATGTTTATCAAATTTAAGTTGAGGTTCTTGCACCAAGCCCAGGTATTTAAATTATGCAGCAGAGAGAATGTTTTCATTTTGTAAATTAACATTAAATGTTTCTTTAAAATCAAGTTTTCTTATTGCGATGGAGACAGTTTTTGAAATGTTCAGAACTAGCTGATTTTGGAGGAGCCACTGCTAGATGTCAGACACAGCTGGATAATACGTCTCCAGCTTGATCTGGTGATTTAGCGGGTGCATAAAGAACTGCATCACCCGTATAAAGTTGACAGTTGACACCTGAGCAGTGCAGAGGCAAGTTGTTTATGAAGAGACTAAACAGCAAAGGGCCGAGTAACTTGTGGGATGCCCTTTTTTAAGTTCAAAAATCCAGATTCGTCTTGATCTAATTTAACACACTGAGCTCTAGGCTGAAGATAAGATGTAAACCAGCTTATTGCCTCAACGGAAAAATTAAATTCCGACATTTTATATAAAACCAAACTATGGTTAACCATATTGAATGCCTTTTTAAGGCCGATAAATACAGCACCCATCACATTGCCCTTATCCAGGGACTTCTTAAAAATTTTCAGTTAAATAATGTCATATTTTTAGATAATCATTTGACCCCAAGTGGCAGACTGGGAAGAACAGAGTCAGAAGTTACAAAGGAATAAATGTTTTTATTTTGCAAGTCAAAATCCTCCAGGCTGAAAAAGAAAGCAGGGACAAGGTGAGTATCCAGAATGATCTTCAGAAAGCAACTGATCAATTATGTTGAGGTTCTTGTTCTTACTGCAATGTTTCTTGTAGTCAGGTCCAGAGAGAAGAGGTTCAAGGAGTCCCAGGGTTCAAGGTGATCCAAGCAGTGAAACAAGGTGAGTGTTGGTTGAGACAGGAGCAGGTCGTCTGAGGTGGAAAAAACTATCTCTGCAGGAGATCAAAACAAGGTCTTCAGATACAAAGTGCTTCAAACAGATTTAGTGGCTGGTCACACACTTTACCATAAGCATGATAATGTCCCGGCGCTGGAGGCATGTCTGGCAGAGGTTCTTATACCCGGGCAGAGTAGTCCTCCAAACCAGGAACAGGTGTGGAGTAGTGGTTGATTAGGATTGGATGCAGCTTATGAGTGAGAGAATGGCTGGTAGACCTAAAACTCCTACAGACCCCCCCCCCCCCCCCCAAGAATCGCCCCTTGGCGATTTCATCCTCTTTTCAGGAAATTAAACCAATATCCAATATCTGAGACCTAGGGATCCAGGAACGTTCTTCAGGGCCATAACCTTCCCACTCCACTAAGAATTGGAGTCCCCTGCCTCTTCATCGTACATCCAGAAGACGTGTGACTGTGAATGCAGGTGAGTTGTCGATTAGGCGGGGGGATGGGGGAGGCTTGGTGGGAGGGGTCAGAGGACTGTTGATTACCAGTTTTACGTGAGATACATGGAATGTAGAGTGAATCCTCATCGATGGTGGGAGTTGTAGGCAGACGGCCGATGGATTGATTATTTTAGATATGGGGAATGGTCCGATGTATCTGGGGGCGAGTTTTCTTGGTGTGTCTTTGAGAGAGATGTCTTTTGTGGAGAGCCATACCTTTTCACCCACCTGGTAATTTGGAGCTGTCGACCGGCATCTATTAGCAAACCTCTTGTTTTGTGTTGCTGTCCTGAGTAGTGCTTCTCTGGTCTGAAGCCAAACTTGGCATCATCTTCTGACATGGTGCTGAATAGATGGGACAGAGATGTCTGAGTCCTGAGAGGGAAAGAGTGGGGGTGAGTAACCCAATGATGCCTCAAAAGGAGACAAACCTGTTACTGAGGAGACTTGTGAATTATGGGCATACTCGATCCAGGGTAGGTGTTGGCTCCAAGAAGATGGGTTACTGTTAATCACGCACCTTAATACAGCTTCCAAGTCCTGGTTGCATCTCTCCGTTTGGCCATTAGACTGAGGGTGATAGCCGGAAGACAAGCTGGAGGTGGCACCCAAGGCTTCACAATATGCCTACCATACTCGAGAGATGAACTGTGGCCCCCTGTCAAACACAATATCAAGCGGAATACCATGGAGACGGAAAACATGGTTTACCACCAACTGTGGCGTTTCAAATGCAGAGGGTAGCTTGTTCAGAGGAATGAAGTGAGCGGCCTTAGAGAATCTATCAACCACAGTGCAAATGACAGTTACCTTCTGACAGAGGAAGACCGGTGACGAAATCCAGGGCAATGTGGAACTACGGACGACTGGGAGATGGTAGAGGCAGAAGAAGGCCTGCAGGGGGTTTGTTATTATTCTTTTTGCGAGCACATGTTGGACAGGCAGAAACAAAATCCCTCACATCATTAGACATGTTGGGCCACCAAAAATGTTCCTTAGTGAGGTGTAGCATGCGTGTGATGCCAGGATGACATGTGAATATTGCCGTGTGAAGCCAATGCAGTACCTTGCTGACCATAGAAGCCGGAACAAATGTTCTCCCTGGAGGGCCCATACCAGGGTCAGGTTCGATCCGTTGTGCTTCTCGGATGTCATTTTCTATGGCCCAGGTCATGACACCAGCTGTGCAGGATGCAGGTAAGATACTCACAGGGGTGTCAGAAGTTTCAGAAGAGGAGAACTGGCAGGACAGAGCATCCGGTTTAATGTTGCAAGAACCCAGAATGTACGTGATGGAAAAGTTAAACCTGGCAAAAAAAAAGGGACCATCTGGCTTGCCGTGCGTTTAATCTCTTAGCCCCCTGAATGTATGCCAAGTTCTTATGATCAGTCCAAATAATGAATGGCAATTCTGCACCCTCCAACCAATGTCTCCACTCCTCGAGAGCCATCTTTATGGCCAACAACTCTCTATTACCGACGTCATAATTTCATTCAGCAGGAGAAAGATGACGGGAAAAGAAAGCACAGAGGTGGAGTTTCCCATCGTCTGTCACTCTCTGAGATAACACAGCCCCCACA